AAGATATCTTTGCAGTTTACCAGTGTTCCTGACTATTTCATTTTTAATGATAAATTAATTATATATCAGTATCTGCCTACTTACTATATCTATTTTCCTGATTTGGATGTATGGGAAACGAAATTTTGGCGTAATTTTATCCCTCCCGACAAACCAATACTCACCCTTGAACCTATGTCATGTTACATTGGTAAATATTATAATTTGTGCACTAGGTGGGTGTCAACTTAAAGTTCACTTAAACTTAAAGTTCACATTAATGTGTGTTGCAGATTTTGTTGATCGAGATGAAATGGTTTTAAAAGCTATCGCAGAGACATGCAACGTGAAAGGTTGTAATGATATAATAAAGACCTATTATAAAATAACCCATAAAAGGAAGAAGGAGAGGGATATATATAAAGAACATACATTATTTTACTTATTGCCTGTAAAGTGCGATGAAAGTTCCATCGTATTAACTCCATTCTTTCACGAGTATGATGAACCACCTGTACTATTGTGTACAGGTTTTAAGAGAGACGACTTAAGGAAGTTACACTTGCATAATATTCCTATTCAAGAACCACGAAAGTTCCGTTCCTTGTTCCTTACCAAGAAGAACTCATATAGGAGGTTTTTTAATCTGTTTCATCCAGCTCACTTGCACACGACAAACTTGGATTATATTTGACTTATGTGGTTAGATTAAATATTTAACAAATTAATAAACGGCGAAGGAGAGTCAGGCGCGGTACGTGGTGCGCAAATAAAAAAATTAACAGTTACAGAAGTAACGAATTACAAAATGTATATAATTATACATACATTTCAACTTATACACTGCGCGCCGATTGTTTGTCGGACTTGAAATACAATTATCGTTGGAATATTAATACCCTTGCCTCCCCGGAATTAAATCGATGCGATTTAATTATCTAAAAACTGTAAAGAAATTATTGCGAAAAATATTACCTCAGCCAGGATTCGAACCTGGAACTTCAGGATTTGAATAATTAAATATTTAATTATTTGATATTTCTGTGAAAAAAAAACAGGGAGAGAGAGGTAAATCCAAATAAAAATTCAGGATATAAACGTTGCAGAAATTTCAAAGAGCACTTTAAAGAACGGACAGTACGTCTAGTCCGATATCATGTTGACTTTCTTTGTATTAACCGTGATATAT